CAGTGCATTTCTGGTATCCGGCATTTGTACTCTCCTCACGATTGCTGCTTTTGATATCATATTTATGTGTGGATGATTTCCTACCTTTATGTTTGCTTTTACTGGTGAGCTTTTCGATTAGTAATTCTCTTGTTTCTAGTTGTGGCTTTTTCTGTTCCGTCTAGAGAAGTTCCTTTAGCATTTGTTGTAAAGCTGGTTTGGTGGTGCTGAATTCTTGTAGCCAAATCTGAATGAGAGCCTTGCTGAGTAGAGTAATCTTGGTTGCAGGTTTTTCCCTTTCATCACTTTAAATATATTGTGCCACTCCCTTCTGGCCTGCAGAGTTTCTCCTGAAAAATCAGTTGATAGCCTTATGGGGATTCCCTTGTATTTTATTTGTTGCTTTTCCCTTTTTACTTTTAATATTTTCTCTGCCTTTAATTTTTGGCAGTTTGATTAATATGTGTCTCGGCGTGTTCCTCCTTGGGTTTATCCTGTATGGGACTCTGTGCTTCCTGGACTTGGGTGGCTGTTTTCTTTCCCATGTTAGGGAAAGTTTCAGGTATTATCTCTTCAAATATTTTCTCAGGTCCTTTCTTTCTCTCTTCTCCTTCTGTGGCCCCTATAATGTGAATGTTGGTGTTTTTAATGTTGTCCCAGAGCTCTCTGAAGCATTCTTTTTTCTGTTCCATGGCAGTGCTTTACCCCATTCTGTCTTCCAGCTCACTTATCCATTCTTCTTCCTCATTGTTCAACTCTGTTGTTTAAATCTCTTGGCTCTTTCTTAAACATTTCTTGTATCTTCTTGGTCTGTGTCACCATTCTTTTTCCGAGATCTTGTATCATCTTTACTGTCACTACTATGAATTCTTTTCCTGTCTCCACTTCACTTAGTTGTTCTTCTGGTGTTTTATCTCGTTCCTTTGTCTGGAACATATTCGTCTGCTGTCTCATTTTGTGTAACCCTGTGTTTGCAGTCCCACAGGTTGCAGGATTGTAGTTCCTCTTGGTGTGTGCCACCTTGTGGGTGCAGCCCGTCTAAGAGGCTTGTGCAGGCTTCCTGGTGGGAGGGACTGGTGGCTGCCCACTGGTGGGTGGAGCTGGGTTGTGGTGGGTAGGGCATGTCAAGTGTTGTGTTTAGAGGTGGCTGTGGATTCAGGAAGACTTTAAACAGTCTGTCTGCAGATAGGTGGGGCTGTATTCCCACCCTGTTTGTTTTTTGGCCTGAGGAATCCCAGTACTATATCCTAAGGGCTGTTGGGTGGGGTCAGGTCTTGGCTTCAAAATGGTGGCCTCCAGGACAGCTCATGCCATTGAGTGCTCCCCAGTACCTCTGCCACCAGTGTCCTTGTCCCCACAGTGAGCCGCAGTTGCCCCCTCCCTCCCCAGGAGACCCTCCAAGACCAGCAGGTAGGTCTGGCCCAGGCTCCTATGAAGTCACCTCTTTTTCCCTTGGGTCCTGGTGTGCATGAGACCTTGTGTGCGACCTCCAAGAGTGGCGTTCCTGTTTCCCTCAGTCCTGTGGAGTTCCTGTGATCAAGCCCCACTGGCCTTCAAAGCCAAATACTCTGGCTTCTCCTCCTCTTGATGCCAGACCCCCAGACTGGGGAGCCTGACATGGGGTTCAGCACTCTCACTCCTGTGGGAGAACCTCTGTGATATAATTATTTTCCATTTTCTGTGTCACCCACCCAGCGGGTACGGGATTTGATTGTATCATGAACGTGCCCCTCCTGCTGTCGCGCTGTGGCTGCTTCTTTGTCTTTGGAAGTGGTATATCTTCATTGATAGGTTCTGGCCCTTTTTTGTTGATGGTTGTTCAGCAGTTAGTTGTGATTTTGATGTTTTCATGAGAGAAGGTGAGCTCTGGTCCTACTGCTTCTCCATCTTGTTAGGAAACCAAGAAACTGTTGATTGTTAAACTCAGCATTCAGGTAGGCCATTATGATTTTTTTCTCTGTCTATGTGAGAAAAAATGTGCTTCCACAGCAAAGAAATGTGGCATTTAGACACTGTTTATTATTTATATTCTTTTAAAACTTAGGACCAACTCTTTTAACAGTACATTTGTACAGTCAGTGAATTTGTGCCCTTTGGTTTCTTGAATGCCAGCTGAGTCGAATCATTAGTAGACTCAGAGATAGATTAGTTTACTAACAGATTGTTCATCCTATGGGGTGTTATATTTCACATTATTATGTGGAGATATATGGTACAGAAATAGTTTCAAAGGAAACATGTCAGCCCATACCGGAACAATAACTGGCTTAAATTATTTTGTCACGTTACTTTAAATTAAATACTGTACAGATGGATACTCTTGTGCTGGTAGGCGTGGTCAGAGGGAGATAGTGCAAGGGGAGCCAGAGCTTGAAGCACTGGTGGGAACTGGGTTAGGAAGGCAGGTGTATAAGTGTTCGTTTCAGTATTTTGCAGAGGACTGGAGCCCTGCAGGATAGAGTCACTTGAGCGATGATTCAAGGCATTCAGTAGTGGGTCTAGATGCTTGCACTGGGGGCAAGGTGTTGATCAAGGTAAGTGCCCCAGTTGTCTCAACAAAGGACTGACTTTTGAACGTGAAGCAGTGATTTTCGTAAGTTTCTTTTGTGTATTTTCTGCTCAGGGGCAAGAACTATTTAACTAAGAAGTGGTTTGATTTGACCCTGACTGGAGCAAGGACGAGGCTTAACTCTGATGAAAGGTGCAGATTTGGAGATACCAAGTGTTGCACAGATGAGTGAGGGTAAAAGGCATGGGAGGAAGAAGAAGGAGTTAACATTGGTAGTCAGACCCACTGCAGTGACAGTCCACAAATGCCTGCAGAAATTATTTCACTCTTAAGGGTCAGCATAAACTTACTCTGCTGTGGCATAATAAGAAATACATAAATAATTGGATCTATGTCCCGGGTTGCTGGCGTACAGCTCCCAAAGCCCTTGGGATCTCAGGAGCGGTAAGAGTGCCTCTGTACCCCCGCCCGGCAGCTTCAGGACGGGGCTGTTGGCCGGAGCAGCCAAGCACGTGATCAGAGGGTGGCACGTGTGCCTCATCCCAGGCCTCCGGGAAAGAGAGAGGGCGTGGGGACTGCGCTAGCCACCAGTGCCCGCGACGCAATCAGCCACGCCCACGTGACGCAGCCTCCCGCAAAGCCACTGAACGAGGGGCCTGGACAGCCTCCAGGTTGGTGAACACATCTGGGTTCTGGGAGGGTGGTGTATCCATGCCCCCTCTCACGCCTTGCCCGACGCATCCCTTCTGTTTGGCTGTTTCCCCAGTTGTATCCTTCATAGTAAACTGGTGACCGCAAGTGAAGTCATCAGTTTTTGTTTCTGTTTTTGTTTTTTTACAGAAAAGAAAGTCAAACTTATTTAATGAAAAACTAGAATTAATAAAAATTAGCAAATACACACACAAAATATACACACACAGCAGCACTGTGTATTGACTCACATAGGGGAAAAGCAGTGGTCCAAGACCTCTCAACATGGCTTGTCAGTTAAAGAAAAAAATACCCACACACACACACACGCATGCGCACACAAAAAAACAGAACAGAAAACAAGAACCCAATATTTTTCAGCAGTACACTCAATCTACAACCAACACAAATTCAGAATTATTTTACAATGCTTCCTTTCTTAATACAAAAGATGCCCATCTTGGGTGTGTATATATATATATATATATTTTTTTCAGTGGTTTACTGTTGACTTATTTTTAAATATATTAGTGTTACTACATGTGACTGTTTCCCGTATTTAATAGCCTTTCCTTTTATTTACCTTCATGTGCCCAAAGCTTCCGGTTGGTAGGCAGACAGGTAAATTGTTTTCCTGAGTTCTGTGAGTTATCCTGGTGAATTGTCGAAGCTGAGGAGGGAGTCTAGGAGCCTCCAAATTCATAGCCAGTCAGTCTCAAGGCCAGGTCGCAGCTGGGAGGTGCAGCTGGCACCTGGAGCGGGGCCAGTCTTGTTGGACTGAACCTGTGGATTCTGACGATGACCCCAGGCAGTCTGTCAGAAGTTAAGTGAATTGTAGGACACCCACTTGGTGTCCAGAGAGGTGGAGAGTTGGTGGGTGAGAGAGAAGCCCACACGTGTGGTGTCAGAAGTGTTGTGAGTACGTCACGTAGGGTACACACGTCTGTGTAGGTGCTTCTTTGCCACGGTCAGTTCATAAACTCCGAACTTACCTGCATGCTGTGTCTGCAGGCCCCGTTCTCCTTTCCGTGCCCCTGTAATCCCTGAACAGCACGTTGACTTTCCCGTCTTCTCGCTCGCTCTTGTGGCCTGTGCAGCTGGCCACGCTTGGCTTTTCTCTAACAGTGTGCTCGTGTACCTCCTGACCCCTTGGACAGCCTCTCTGACTGCGAGGTTTGTCTCAGTGGATCCCTGTCCACCAGGCCATCCTGGGCCCTGGCCCTTCCTGCTCCGATCAGGTCCACTGCCACTCACAGTTGGGGACAGAGGTGGCAGAGGTCATCCTGTGGATGGTGTCAGTACTGGGCAGTTACTCCCTAACGAGATGAGAGGGAAGCAGTGTGGCACGTTTGTCATGGCTTATCACCAGCATGATTCTTAACATATGTTTTTATTTTTCATACAAGTACCGAGCATAGTGCCTGGCAAACTGAAGGGATCCCAAAATGTTTGTTGAATTGAAAATCTCATCACAGTGGTCATAAATCTGTTACCAGAAAGATGAGAATGCATCAGTGAATAAAGACTCAGATGGTCTTCACTTTTTAGTCCGTGCAGATCTCTAAAGGAATGCAGTGGTGCTCAAATGAAAATTTTATGTGACTTTATCCTTTTTAGTGCTTCCAGTGGCCTACTCTACTGTGGGTAAAAATGCAGAAACACTTCATGGGAATACTTTAAAGTATTTTGGTGTTGAGTAAAAAAGGTTTTAAAAAGGCATAACATCTTATATTTGACTTGTTACTTGTGTCTATTCTTAGAAATGGAGATTGTGTAGATTGTCTAATTTATACTGAGTAATGTTAGATTTCCTGTTTTTCAGAGGCATAGGCGTAAGAATGACAGACCCAGTGTATCTGAGCCCCTCATTTGACAACGTACTGCCTAGCTACTTATTTTTACAAGTAAGTATTTGTAAAAGCAAAATACTTAGTGACACTGAAATACACTTCAGCGAATTATTTGAAATCTAAGGGTTTGTTTTTTCGCTTCTATTAACTTTTTTTTTTGCAGTGTATTTATGTTTTCTGATCTACCTTTGGTTAAGTAGTAAGGAAAAGCTTAGTAAGCACTTTCTCTTTTTCTCAAGTGATGAACTACCTTTTCTCCCTTCATTTGCCCAGCGGTGCTTATCGTAGGATAATAAGCACAGTACGTAGGGTGAGAAGGCGTGCGCAGGGCGCTGCCGCGACTCCGGCTCACCCTTAGGAAAGGAAAGGCTCCACCGTGTGAGACGGCGGGGTCTGTGTCATTTCTTTCGGGCACCAGTTCTGAGCTGTAGTTTGAGAGCTTCTTCCTGAATGTGCTTTCCTTCCTCTTTCCTACCCTCAAGTTTAATAAATATGGTTGTACTTTTCTTATTATAAAATGTCTGTAACTGCTGTAAAAAAAAAAAAACAACCTACTTAGTGTAGCTTATTGTAATGATTGCTTTCCATTTCCACTATTAACTCCTAAATAAAGCATGCATTTGCTATACATGTAAGTGTTCCATGTGTAAGTCTGAGTGAGATTCACATGGTTTACTACTAGCAGATTTTGGTCAGATGGTTATCAATTGCTGTGATATAACAAGTAATTTATTTTCCCTTGTCCAGTTTATGATGTACTTTCATGTACATTAGCTCATATGATTTGTTACAGTCTGCTTGTTAGGTGGCATTTTTATTATTTTATTATTATTACCAATGTAACATGAAGATACTGAAGGCCGGATCTGGTCAGGTTCTTGAATAAGGTCACATAATGGGTAGGTAGTAGCATCTGTACCCTAACTTAAGCGTAGATGACATTTGCTTTCTACTCTGATTAGTATGTAACCAAAAGTCATTTTATAAATCCAGAGATTAATTCTGGGGTGAACAAATAGAAAAACAGATTTACATTTGTCCTCTGATTCTACATTAGTGATGGTGTAAACCGTTAGGATGCATAACCTAATATAAAGTCATACACGGTTACGTAGACTCTTCAGTAGTCTCTGCCAGCCTTTTTTTTATTACTTTCTATTTTTTATTTAATTTTTATCTTTAAATTTTTTTTTAGAGAAACGGTTCCCAAGAGTGCTTTTCTTTTTTTTTTAAAATTTATTTATTTTATTTATTATTTATCTTTGGCCGTGTCGGGTCTTCCTTGCTGCACGCGGGCTTTCTCTAGTTGCGGCGAGCAGGGGGGCTACTGTTCGTTGCGGTGCCCGGGCTTCTCACTGCGGTGGCTTCTCCTGTTGAGGAGCTCGGGCTCTAGAGCACAGGCTCCGTAGTTGTGGTGCACGGGCTTAGCTGCTCCGTGGCATGTGGGATTTTCCCGGACCAGGGCTCGAACCTGTGTCCCCTACATTGACAGGCAGATTCTTAACCACTGCGCCACTAGGGCAGTCCTGCCAGCCTTTTAAAAAGTGTGTTGTTGTGCTGGGCTCTTTGAATATATTATCACAAGCCTGCACTGGCTGTAACTGAAGAACACTGATACCAGTTCTTGAATGATGTTCAGCAACCTCTTAACTTGTGAAGATGAGGTAGTTCATAGGGTGATTGGCTGAATACCTTGTAAGCCCCAGAGTTAGGCAACTAATACTTTGTCCATTCTGTGCGATTATTGAAGGTACTTTACAGAGAGGTAGAGTTATATACTTGGGAAAATCCCTGGTGAAATTTGTGGGGTTTTTTTTTTTTTTGATGCCTCTTGCCTTGCCTTTCTCTGGAAACCATTATCCCCAGATCTGTACTGTTACTTGTTTGCAACAGCTAACGTGGAAGCTTCACATTGTGGGTTCCTTGTTGAGGAGAGGAGGTTGTAAAGGGCTGGTGATAATTGATTATTTCTCATGTAGCAGTTGAAGTTACACAAGGATGTACTTTATAAAGTTAATTGGAGTGTCGCACACAATCATTAAAATTACGAATGTGCAGTATTATTTGGTTTTTCAAAACCACAAAGGAAACTTTTGATTTGTCTGACCACAGTCCACAGAACTGTAGAAACGCCTTTGATGTCTTTCACGATTGAAATGATTGACAGTGAAAGGTTTAATACTTAAATATTTACAACAGCTGTTTTCAGTTATATTCTAGTTGCATTCTAGGTTATCTGGAATCAAAAATGGTGCTCCAAAGTTGATCTTTTCATTGCCTGCTTTCTTGGAAATAACTGATTTAAAAGCCAGATGAGGTTGGATAATCTGAGAGCTTTAAATACATGCTGCTGCCTGGACTCTACCACGTGAATGGGCTTTAGTTGGTCTGGCTGGGGTGGGGCCTGGGTCAGGATGCTGAAAAGCTCTCCCAGGTGGTTCTAGTTTGCAGCTAAGGTTAAGAATGGCTGTAGCAGTAGCAAGGTTGCACAGCTAGCTGCATGTTAAAAGCACCTGGGGAGATCTTAAAAACACTGATGTCTGGCCCTATTGCCAGAAATTCTGATTTAACTATTCTAGATGACTGCGCATTAAAAACAACAAAAGACAGAACTCACCAGGTGATTCTGTCGTCAGCCAGGATTGAGAAATACTGTAGAGAAAGGTAGTAGATGAAATTGTTTTAGGGAAACTTTGTCATCATTTAAATATTTAATGAAACCTCTTCTCTGGGACTATTTCATGCTTTCAACTGATTGCATACCAGAAGGTTCTTAACGTATTACGTTGGATTGGAAATTTCTGTCATCTTTGGCCATTGCATTAACGTTATCTTTGTTAGGAGTGAAGCATCACTGTCATCTCTAGATGGAGAACCACTGAATCTTCAGTGGCCACATACGTGTTTTAGTGTCTTTATATTAGAGTTCAGTTTTTAATGTGTCGTGTCTTTACGTCCTCTGATTCTGAAACTTAAAATGATCTTGAGTCACTGATGACAGATTAATTTTTTTTCCTTATAGAATTTGCCGTCTGCTGCAGTAAGTCATGTTCTGGATCCTCAGCCTGGAGAGAAGATTCTAGATTTGTGTGCGGCCCCCGGAGGCAAAACAACACACGTCGCAGCGCTGATGCATGATCAGGTGAGGCCGTCTTCGTGCAGAGCTGCTCTTGATACACTGCGTGTCTCAGTGATGGAGGTGGAAGTACGTGTGACTTACGGAACATTGTACAGACATGCATAATCTGGTCGATTTCGATTCAACCAAAGAGAAGGCCGCTCAGTGATGTCATTCATCACATATTAAGTTCAGTAGACCATTGTCATTTGTGAAGACTATCTCAAGACCTTCTTGAATCCCAGATTTGCCTAATACATTTATGGAATAGAATTTTTCCCTCAAATGATTAAGTCTAAATGAAACATTTAAGAGATCTTTTCATGTTCTTAATTACAGGACTTGACACTTTTTAAACTATTCAAACAAATTCTACCACTGAAAGTTAACTTGGCAGCCCGTTATTAAAGTGTCCAAATATATATTGTTGATATATATGCAAATATAAAGATGATGATAAATATATTGGCTTGGCCAAAATGTTCGTTCGGGTTTCTCCGGAAGATGTTTTTGGCCAACAGAATACATGCACACATACTGAACGTCTGTATGTGTCTGTGTTCTTCTTGCCTTGGAGTTCATAAAAAGCATGATTTGGCTTAATTAGTAAAGCCTGCTTCATTGTGACAAAAGAGAAGTCTGTCCTTGGATAACTTTAGCTCAAATGTTACTGCTTTTCCTATGTATGCATATTTGCCGATGTGTTTTCTTGCATCGTGCGCTAGTTTTATCTGTGTTCAAAGCTGTGTGGCCTTGTAACCACTCTGTGCTTCAAATGAGATTCTTCAGCTTGAGAAGGATATGGCCAGTTGATGCTATCTTTCCCGTTTGTTTCAAATTCTGTAAAACCAAATGGTTCCTAAAATGTTTGCACATGCTAGTAGCTTCACCTACAGTATAGTTCTTGATCTAGAGTCAGATTTTAATTGATGGACTGATTAAAAAAATATTGATTTATTCTTACTGTGTGCCAAGTACTGGCGTACAGCAGTAAACCATAGTGACCACAGTTTCCTTCTTCATGGAGCTTACGTTGCAGTAAAAGGACACAGATGAGAAACAAATGAGTGAGTAAGAGATAAGGCATATATAACTGTGGGAGGGGTATGGGATTGGGAACACTGGGGAAGGGAGAGTGAGTTTGCAGTGGGTGGCGAGGGAGAAGCCCACTGGGAAGGTGGCATTTAGGGAAGACTTACAGGTGGGAAGAATGTACCAGCGAGAGAAGACGTAAGTGCAAACGCTCAGGCTGGACGCTGCCCGACTTGCTGGGGAAACCGGGGTCGGGGGAGGGACCGTGGTAGTTTTGCGGCATAGAATAAGTGAGGAGCAGGGTGGGGGTGGGGGAAGAGATCAGAGAGTGGGGGCCGGGGCATGGACGGAGCAGCTTAGCAGGCTCTTCCGGGACTTCACGTCTGCTCCAGCGATGGGACGTCCTTGGAGGTTTGGGGCAGAAGAGCGACGTAAGCTTGCGAGCTCCTTACCTTGGCCGCGGCGTTGCAGACAGGCTACAAGAGGGCAGCGGCGGAAGTAGAGAGACCGCTTAGGAGACAGCAGTTCAGGGGCGTCATGGAGGTGGTAAGAAGTTGGTCGGATTCTGGGTGTGTTTCGAAGCTGGGGCTGTTAACAAAGAGCTGTTGGTGGATTGGACGTGGGTTGTGAAAATGAGAGGCCAGCGCAGCGTGACTCCTTAGGTGTTTGGCCAGAGGACCTGGAAGGATGGAGCAGCCGGGTCGGGAGGGGCACGTTTTGCAGGGAGAGATCAGCCGTTTAGTTTGGGTTATACTGCAGTGCGGTCCCATTAGACAGCCAGGAGGTGGCGTGGAGCAGGCAGTGGGGTAGTTGAGTCCAGGGTGCAGGAGAGAGGTCGGGACTGGAAATGGAGGTCTGGAAGTCGTCAACACGTGGATAAAACATGCGAGGCCGTGAGGCTGATGTGGGCGGGAGAAGTAGGGGAGGCCGGAAGGCGAGCCTTGGGGCTGCGGTGCGCCGACGCTCGGGGCTCGGGGAACCAGGAGGAACGGCCACCGTTGCGGCAGGACCACAGAGGCCCGTGATGCCCTGGGCGCCGCGCCAGGAAGGGGTCGAAAGGGGACGGAGCAAGCAGCTGGGTGAAACGTCCCGGCGGGGCCAGTGAGGTGAGGCCCGAGAACCCCCTCCCCGTGGACTCATCACCTCGTGGGTGATGGCGGTGAGTGGAAACGCCTGCTTGGATGGAAAATGAGAGGAAGCGAAGAAAGTGAATCAGGACAACTCCTTTGCGGGGGCAGGGCACGTTTTTACCGGAGGGCAGAGAAATGGGGCAGCGCTTGGAGGGTGGACTCAGGGAGCCCTTTTTTTAAGATGAGGGAAATAGCAGTGCATGCTGGTGGAGAAGAGCGATTAGAAGGGGAAATTGGTTTACCCCCGAGGGAACGGGAAAATGGCTGGAACAGGATCTTGGGGTAGGTGAAATGGGACAGGATTTGATGCACAGTGGCTTTAGATGGTGGCATGAGACGGTTTATCCGTGGAAGTAGGAGGTAGGGCCGAGGCTATGGGCAGAGGTGTTGGTGGACTGGTACACGTGGTGGGAGACTGGGAGTTGGCTTCTGGTTGTTCCAGTTTTCTCTGAAAAGGAAGCAGGGTCTTCAGAGGGGAATGGGGATGGGGAAGGGGAAGGGCAAGGCAGCGGGGTCAGGGGTTTGAGAAGACAGGAAGTGTCGATCTAGGATAAGGAGTGAGAATGGCCTACGGATGCGTCATGAGAATTCAGTTGTGCGCCAGGGCCCCATGAGTACAGCAGTCATGGATTTAGAGTGAGATGAGTTGGGCTAGTGATGTGCTCTTTGGCTGCGTCGGGGGGATAGACAGGAGGTTGGTGAAGGCCTGGGTTTAATCACAGCTGAGCTTTTGTCCCTTGGATGTGCGAGAAACAGACGCACGTGAGTTGAGGATGTATATAAGGGAGTGTATGTAACGTGCCGTAGAATCTCAGCTGGGGAAGAGCAGAGCAAGGACACAAGAACAGTGAGGGCCGTGTGTCCGTTGTCACTTTTCTAATTCAGCTCAGATTTATACAGCAGTAAAAACGCTTATGTGCCTAGGAAACTCAGCGGTTTTCTTCCTAGTACTAATTTATAGATAAGAAACAATTACCTACTGAGGTAAGACTTTCTCGCATGGAAACCTCCATGAGGCTGATTTAGCAAAAGCCTTTCTGCTCCAGCTAATTTGCCTGATAAAAGTTACAGTATTTCCCACTCTCGCAAGTGCCAGATGTTGGACTTTTATCAGGTGGTACATTTTTGATCTATATTTGATGACGCTTAGGACTGTCAAGGGATTTACAAGCAATCTTGCACAGAAAATAGTTGGAAATTGTACTGTGTCAAGGATGAAATTATAACTTTTCCCTTTCATTAGTGTAGATAACTTTAATTGTCCGAAGACTTCTGATGAAAGTTGTCATTTCTTACACATTCATATTTGACACTATTAGAATATCTGAAACATTCACAATGTCACAAACGGGGATAAAAATATATAAATATAAAATTTTATATTTTCAGTAAATACGCTGAAGGCCTAAACCTGTCATCTCTGCACTATAAATGTGCGTGTGTAAAATCCATACACTGTATGCTCTTCGCATATACACAGACACTTGCAGTAGCACTAATATAACCTCAATGAGCAGCCTTCAATCTAAGAAAGATCTCCAATAGAAAAAGGTATTTGTCGTTTAAATATCGTGGAATTGATATCCGTGGTTCATTAGAGGAGATACACTTGCCTATTGACTTACACTACTCTTTGTCAAAAAAGAATTTAAGGTGGTAACAGTAAAAACAAAACAAAACAAAAAAACTCTTTAGGGAAGAAAATGCATTAAATACCACCAGTGTGTAAAATGAACACGGAACAGAAGGGTTCATTTTATGGAATTGTGGTATTTAATGCAAATCATTTTTCAGTTTTCCTGAAAGCTCAGATGGAAAGATTACATGCTCTGAGGAAGTGACAATTATCCCCCTCACTTACGGTGTGATATTTATTGTGTTTGCTTAAAAGTATATTCACTCAGAGGTATTTTCTGCTCTCCAGTAAGAAGTCTTTCCAAAGAGAGGCTGGGTATTAGAGGTGTGTGCATTCTCTGCTGGTTTTATAACGCGGTGTGAAAACAGCCACACAGCCTCGGTGGCACTGCATCCCCTCCGGAGTCTGGGATTCAGTCGATGGCCGCCAGCCTGACTGTGGCACCTGGTCCCTGTGGGGTGGCCGGAGTTTCTCATGGCCTTGGCTGGGCTCACTCACTTGGGTTAGGCTCAGGTCGGCTCAGCTGAGGCCACTGGAATGTCTTGCCTCTGGTCCCTGCATCTCTTGCCCTCCTGTGGGACTAGGGCACTAGCACAGCAGAGCGCAGTAGCTGAGGGTCAGCAGTGGCAGAGGACAAAGCAGAGCAAGGCCAGCGTTCCGCATCTCTCCTTGCATCACTCCTACTGTCATCCCATCAGCCAGTGCAAACCAGGTGGCCGAGTCCGACTCGGACCAGCCGGGTGTTGCAAGGTCAACGGCAGAGGGTGGGGATACATGGAGACTTGAAGAGTTGGGGCCATTTAGGCAGTCTCGCAGCGGGCCAGCACCCAGGAACCTGAACAGAATTATTTGAGCCAGAATTGAATCCCAGATTTTGTTAATACTTTCAGTTTGTCATTGTTGATTTTTTTGTTTGTAGTTAAGCAGAATTTTGTATAAGTGAGGCTTCCAGTCTTGTACTTTTGTAAGAGCAGCCTTCGGCCAGTGCAGTTTCTCCTTCACTGTAGTTGCAGTGGAACCTTATTCTGGTGGGTTTTGCCTACTTTTCCAGTTCAGCTCACTCGAAATGGTTTCCCCGTCCGTCGAGGTATTAACTGGAACTATGCCGGCCGCTAAACTTAGTGTCACATTCAAGAACACAATCAGCAAATCTTCAATATTGTAGTCTATGCAGTCAATGCGTATGTCACAACAAGGAGGAACAAAAGCAAAAAAAAAAAATACACTGAAACGTTTACATCACCATCTCTGCAGAACATTTCATAGTATGTTTTAAAATACCATGTGACTATCACAACTCATTCACAAAACTGTAGCCTCTTGTCTTTATTGACTTTGACTTAATCGAAGTGTTCCCATGTAAAATTATTTTTGAACTACTACCAGTGCAGAACATTTGCTGTGATATACAGGCTTCTATTTTTCTGTCTTTAGTTGTCAGAATTCACGTGAATTTTGTTACATGTATGTATCTCAGAAAGTATTGGGATGAGGATTCATTTTTTACAAGTAACATTCATCTGTATCTCAGAGGACCAGAAGGCAAATGTCTCAGAACGTTAGTTGATGCTCTTCCAGAGGTGAGCAAGGCACATCAAATTGGCGATTTTTTAATATTTATCTCAAATGGGTATTTTAAAGTTTCTTTAGAAGATTGCAAACGCTGCTTTTGCTTTTGAGTTTTGCGGATTAAAAGTAGATGGGTATTATAAGAAAATTATCTGGCAAGATTGTGTTCTTTAAAAGGTAAGACTTAAGTATTGGATGTAAATTTGATATTCATTTGGATGATGACTTCAGCTTTAAAACTAGGGGTAGGAGGAAAGTGGGGAAGACTGTAATTGTCCGTTTTTCTCATTATTAATAACTTTCATGACTGCTTTGGATTTTCACTTTTTTATGTGTTTGTTTTGTTTTTTAGGGAGAAGTGATAGCACTGGATAAAATATCCAACAAAGTAGAAAAAATAAAGCAGAATGCGTTATTGTTAGGGCTAAATTCCATCAGGGCATTTTGCTTCGATGGAACAAAGGCCCTTAAACTTGATATGGTTAAGGACACAGATGGTGAGTTAAATTTTATCTTTTCAAGGCTTTTATAATTGGCTTTACAAACAGATTGTCAGATTTTGCTACCTATGTTCTAGCCCCTAAATATCCACAGGGCCTTGGCATGGATCTAAGGTATTTTGCTGTAATAGATGTCTTCTTGCTTTTCATCTCATCTTTGAATATCAAGTTTTTAATACCGAATCAAACCTCCAAGACTTGGTCAAACTCTTTGTTCTTAACCTATTTATTTTATTTTATTTTATTTTTTTATTGAAGTATAGTTGATTTACAGTGTTCTGTTGATTTCTGCTGTACAACAAAGTGATTCAATTATACATATATATACATTTTTAAAAAATATTCTTTTCCATTATGGTTTACCACAGGATACTGAATACAGTTCTTTGTGCTACACAGTAGGATCTTGTTGTTTATCCATTCTATATATAAAAGCTTACATCTACTAACCCCAATCTCCCACTCCATCCCTCCCCCAACCCCTCCCCTTTGGCAACCACAAGTCTGTTCTCCATGTCCGTGAGTCTGTTTTGTAGATAGGTTCATTTGTGTCATATTTTAGATTCCACATTTAAGTGATATTATATGGTATTTGCTTTCTGACTTATTTCACTTAGTATGATAATCTCTAGTTGCATCCATGTTGCTGCAAATGGCATTGTTTCATTCTTTTTCTATGGCTGAATAGTATTCCATTGTATATATGTACCACATCTTCTTTATCCATTCCTCTCTCAGTGGGCATTTAGGTTGTTTCCATGTGTTGGCTATTGTGAATAGTGCTGCTAGGAACATAGGGGTGCGTGTATCTCTTTGGATTAGAGTTTCCTCTGGATATATGCCCAGGGATGGGATTGCTGGATCATATGGTGGCTCTATTTTTAGGTTTCTGAGGGATCTCCATACTGTTCTCCACAGTGGCTGTACCAATTTACGTTTCCGCCAACAGTGTAGGAGGGTTCTCTTTTCTCCATATCCTCTCCAGCATTTGTTATTTGTAGAGGTTTTAATGATGGCCATTCTGACCGGTGTGAGGTGGTACCTCATTGTAGTTTTGATTTGCATTTCTCTAATAGTTTAGCAATGTTGAACATCTTTTCATATGCCTACTGTCCATTTGTATTTCCTCTTTGGAGAAATGTCTATTTAGGTCTTCTGCCCATTTTTCTATTGGGTTGTTTGTTTTCTTTTTGTTGTTGAGTTGTTTGAGCTGTTTGTATAACTTGGAAATTAAACCCTTGTTGGTTGCATCATTTGCAAATATTTTCGCCCATTCTGTAGGTTGTCTTTTCGTTTTGTTGATTGATTGTTTCCTTTGCTGTGCAAAAGCTTGTAAGTTTGATTAAGTCCCATTTGTTTATTTTTGTTTTTATTTCTGTCACCTTGGGAGACTGACCAAAGAAAACATTGGTATGACTTATGTCAGAGAATGTTTTGCCTATGATCTTTTCTAGGAGTTTTATGGTGTCATGTCTTATGTTTAAGTCTTCAAGCCATTTTGAGTTTATTTTTTGAGTATGATGTGAGGGAGTGTTCTAACTTCACTGATTTACATGTGGCTGTCTAACTTTCCCAGCACCTCTTGCTGAAGAGACTGTCTTTTTCCCATTGTATATTCTTGCCTCATGTGTCAAAGCTGTGTGATTGACCGTAGTTGTGTGGGTTTATTTCTGGGCTCTCTGTTCTGTTTCGTTGATCCATATGTCTGTTTTTTGTCCCAATACCATGCTGTTTTGATTACTGTAGCTTTGTAGTATTGTCTGAAGTCTGGGAGGGTTATACCTTCTGCTTTGTTCTTTTTCTTCAGGATTGCTTTGGCAATTCTGGGTCTTTGATGGTGCCATATGAATTTTAGGATTATTTGTTCTAGTTCTGTGAAAAATGTCATGAGTAATTTGATAGGGATCGCATTAAATCTGTAGATTGCTTTGGGTAGTATGGCCATTTTTTTTTTTTTTTTTGCGGTACGCGGGCCTCTCACTGTTGTGGCCTCTCCCGTTGCGGAGCACAGGCTCTGGATGCGCAGGCTCAGCGGCCATGGCTCACGGGCCCAGCCGCTCCACAGCATGTGGGATCTTCCTGGACCAGGGCACGAACCCGTGTCGCCTGCATTGGCAGGCGGACTCTCAACCACTGCGCCCCCAGGGAAGCCCAGTATGGCCATTTTAACAATATTAAATCTCATCCAAGAGCATGGGATATCTTTCCATCTCTTTGAATCATCTTCAGTTTCCTTTTTTAATGTTTTATAGTTCTCAGTGTATAAGTCTTTCACCTCCTTGGTCAGGTTTATTTAGTATTTTATTTTTGGGGGTGTGATTTTGAAAGATATTGGTTTTTTGTTTGTTTTTTTTTTTACATTCCCTTTCTGCTATTTCGTTGTTAGTGTAAAGAAATACAGCTGATTTCTGTATGTTAATCTTTTATCCTGCTAACTTCTTGAATTTGTTTATCAGTTCTAGTAGTTTTTGTGTGGAGTTTTTAGGGTTTTCTGTATATAGCATCACGTCATTTGCATATAATGACAGTTTTATCTCTTCCATCCTAATTTGGATACCTTTTATTTCTTTTTCTTGTCTGATTGCTGTGGCTAAGACTTCCAATACTATGTTGAACAGAAGTGGTGAGAGTGGGCATCCTTGTCCTGTTCCAGATTTTAGTGGGAAGGCTGTCAGCTTTTCACTGTTGAGTATTATATTAGCTGTGGGTTTGTCATAAATAGCTTTTATTATGTTGAGATATGTTCCCTCTGTACCCACTTTGGTAAGAGTTTTTATCATGAATGCATGTTGAATTTTGTTAGATGCTTTTTCTGCATGTATTGAAATGATCATGTGGTTTTTGTTTTTTTCTGTTGTTGATGTGGTGTATCACATTGATTTGCGTATGTTGGACCATCCTTGTGAACTTGGGATGAATCCCATTTGGTCGTGGTGTTTGATCTTTTTTATGTGTTGTTGGATTCAGTTTGGTAATATTTTGTTGAGAATTTTTGCATCTATATTCATCAAAGATATTGGCCTGTAATTTTCTTTGTTAGTGGTTTTCATATCAGGGTGATGGTGGCTTCATAGAATGTCTTTGGGAGTGTTTCCTCTTCTGCAATGTTTTGGAAGAGTTGGAGAAGGATGGGTGAGAGTTCTTTGTATGTTTGGTAGAATTCACCTATGAAGCCATTTGGTCCTGGACTTTTATTTGTAGGCAGTTTTAAAATTACAGATTCTATTGATATTTCACTTCTAATGATCAGTCTGTTCAAATTATCTATTTCTTGATTCAGTTTTGGTGGACTGAATGTTTCTAGAAAGTTGTCCATTTCTTCTAGGTTGTTGAATTTGTTGGCATATAATTGTTCATAGTATTCCCTTATTTTTTTTTGTATTTCTATAGTGTTGGTTGTTACGTCCCTTTTTCATTTCTTATTTAGTTTATTTGGGTTCTCTCTCTTTCCTTCTTGGTGAGCCTGGCCAGAGGTTTGTCGGTCTTGTTTATTACCCTTTCAAAGAACCAGCTCTTGGTTTTATTGATTTTTTTTTTCTATTGTTTTTAATCTCTGTTTATTTCCCCTCTGATCTTTATTATTTCCTTCCTAATGCTGACTTTAGGTTTTGTTTGTTCTTCTTTTTCCAGTTCTTTTAAGTGTTAACCTATTTGTTTTAGTTTCATATTACAGCTGAGAAAGCTGAGATTTGAGACAAACCTTTCAGTTTTATGATTCTTCATTTTTCATTTTTCTTGAGGAATTGGGGATATAGAGCCGGAAGGGAAAAACTGCCACATATCTTGTTTTGGAATAAAGTAATACAGTAGTTAAATTGCTCTATTTCTCTCTCTTTGTCTCTATTTTGATTTGGTTTCATAAAGTATTCGAGAAACTTGCATATTTTAATGAAGTAATTGGCATTAGTTTCTCTAGAATGTTCACTGATTAAAGATGCTATTTGATTCATGATGACTTTTTAAAAAATGAACTTATTTTTTTATTTTCTTTTATATTGGAGTATATTTGTTTTGTTGTTGTTTGTTTTTTTTGCGGTACGCGGGCCTCTCACTGTTGTGGCCTCTCCCATTGCGGAGCACAGGCTTCAGATGCGCAGGCTCAGAGGCCATGGCTCACGGGCCCAGCCGCTCCGCGGCATGTGGGATCTTCCCGGACCGGGGCACGAACCCGTGTCCCCTGCATCGGCAGGCAGACTCTCAACCACTGCGCCACCAGGGAAGCCCCTGTATTGGAGTATATTTGATTTACAATGTTGTGTTAGTTTCAGGTGTACAGCAAAGTGATTTAGTTATACATACACATGTATTTATTCTTTTCCAGGATTCATGATGACTTTTAAAATGCCTGCTACATCAGTAGTAATGTGAAAATCCACATACCTTTAAGAAATTATTTTGTGACTTCTGCCTAATATGTAGTAAGTCACACGTGATTAAGAAGCCAAAACAAATGAAGCCCATGGAATACTTGCCAGAAAAACAGGGACTATCCTGAAGAAGAGTGGGAGCAGGTCGGGTTGAATTGCCTGATTACATGACAACAGTGTGTCATGATCAGTGGCTTGTCAGCCCTGAAGTGTTAGCCAGGGGTTTGCAGTTTATATCAGTGTGTAGGCTAGGGGGCTGTACCAGAGAGACCCAAAATACAGTGACTTAGAAAAGATAGAAGCGTTTTTTGGTTTTCTTGTTTATTTTTGTCTCACTGAAAAGTTGAAGAGGTGGACATCCAATGCTGGGAGCTTCATCTCTGGGTCCAAGACAGCTGTTCCAGTTTTTATTCCAGGGCGTAGGAAGGGACTGGGAGATGCACAAGACCTGGAAGTGGGGTGCATATCCCGCTGGCCACAACTTAGTTGTTTGATTAACTTAGCTGCAAGGGGGGCTGGAAAACGTAGTCTTCAGCTGTGTTGCCATGTGCCCAGTTCACACCATTTCTATAGAAGAAGAGGATAATTGTTATTGAAGAACGAATAGCAGTCTGCCAAAAGCTTTGTACT